CCCCCCCCCCCAACACCTCTAGGGCTTCCCGTCTTACTGCCGCATAGCCTCACTGTAGTGCCACGACGCCGCGTCGCTGACGACGACGACGGTGTGAGGAAGTGCACGTTCTGCAAAACAAGATCCCACAAGATTCCGCGTCGAAAATAGCAACAGAATATTTTGTTGCCATTGTCATGATGGTGATGTGTTTTGGGCGTGTAAGCTGTAAGCTGCACTATTCGCGCGTGCAGCACCACCTGGCGTTTCGCACCGCCGCCCTGCGCCAAACCGCACACCTCTCCGCGCCGTGCGGCCGGCGGCGACCTGCATACGGAAGGACTCGTGCCCGCGTGCGTCCCGTGGACGTCGCGGGGTCCGTCCGTCCGTGCGTCCGTCCGTCTAGCTGGGCTAGCGCGCGCCGCCGCGGCCGCCGGGTTGCCGGATTTTACTATGCTGATTGCTTTGGCTAAAGCTACCCCTGGTTGGGGCCTCCCCTCCCCTCACCGCATATCCACAAACCCCGGGGTGTGTCACCCCCGCTCCCCTACCCTCGCTGCCACCCCTCCCTTTATCTGGAATCGGCGCCGTATGTCGCGTGCCCGCCTCCCCTCCCCTCTCCTCCTCCCTTCCCTCGCAGCCTCCGGCTACAGTCGGCTCCGCTCATCCTTAGCCTCGTCTCTTACCCTCCCCGACGGTGAGGGTGGTGAGGTGAGGAGGCGCTACGCACCTGTCTCCTCCGCTCTGTTGGACCGGATTTGCCCACCGTCTGGTTTGATCAAAGTCACCCTCCCTCCCATCCTCCCCTCTGCTGCCTATCCCCCTCCTTCGAATCAGATCGGATCGCTGGATAAGAAGAAGGGGGTGGTGGAGGAGGAGGAGGAGGCGGGGGTCTTGACCTTCCCTCCGGAGCGCGCCTCGGCTCTTTGATTGGGTGGCGTAGCGTAGCTGGCGGGGCGGAGGCAACCCTTTCGTTGTTTGTCGACGGGGAGCTGACCTGGAGGGTCTGTCGTTTGTTCTTATTTCTCGCACCGAGTCGTTATTCACGGTGTTGCATTTGAGGGTAAATAACATGTCCTCGGTGATGCTCGCCCCCCGGGCCCGGGCCCGTGGTGTGGGGTTGGTGGTGCCTGCTCGCTTCTCCAGCGCGGACCTGCTCGCTACTTCGCACCCCCGGGCGGGACCCTCCCCGCCGCCGCCGTGTGGCTCAGGAGAAAGGCCCCCGCGCTCCGCTCTGGCTGCGGAAACTTTACTTTTCCACGTCAAAGAGATCTCAAAGTCTTTGCTCCATGGAAGCTGTCTCTCTATACTCTTCATCCTCCGGCAGCTGCGGGGCGGCGACCCTTTCT